AGGTCACAAGAGTGTGAGGAAGAGAGACTGCTATGATCAGGTAGTATTCCAGAGGCATCGGTAGCAATGTACTAGTAAATGAAGGCTGCTAATGTGCTCGGAGGGGGCGAGTTGCAAAGAGATTCTGTCCCGATGTATAAAACAAATTTGCCTACTAGCTTGTTTTGTGTTGTGGTTTTTACGTTGAAACTAATTCATTTTAAATTTGAATTACTACAATACCTCATGTCGAATAATTCACATAGCACCGTGTACAAGAACAGTAGATAATTTCGTACATGACCATTTTGCATTGTACTTTTGCGGCTCATGTGAACGTTCTCGGGGAACACACCACATGCTTTTAAATACGTAAAAAGTAAACCTTCAACTCGGCAAAGTAATATCACGATACGCAACCCGTCTACCACTCCAATTCGACTTTTAGCTTGTCTATTACCACTGGTATGTACATGTAAAAAATCAGGCGCAATTTATTTAAGCCTCGAGAGCCACGACTAAGAAGCATTTAGACCTTCTTGATTTGACCTTCGAGAGCTACAATCGGTTCATCAAGTATTTACTTACACATCCGAACACTCATTAAGTTAATGCAGATTTTCACAAACTGTCGGGGACGACCGTCACGGGACTTGAGAAAACAAATGAAGCCTGATCATGTCATTCATCGTGAGCTGATACTAGATAGCTTACTTGGTGCCGTTTTTGCGTGCAAAAGTTACGTAGCGTGTATCCGTGCACATCATGGATAGCGTCGTCAACAATTACGTAAACATTTGCATCGTGTGACTTGTCACTTCCTGTGATAGACAACATGTGATGTGGCAACAACATACTAGTGTTGCCACGCCAAATTTGTGCTTGACGTCGTACAACTCGAAATTTGTAAATTTCCCTGCTACGCCCGGCGCTGTTAGGTAGTCGCGTGATTTACATAATTATAAGTATAAGACATTACTCACATGTAGTCTACATCAATTCTTAATTACTCTTCGTCTTCAGATAAGCAACTGTTGCGCGTTAGGCCAAAGACTGCAATGTATGTAGACCGGTTTCGATCCCGTCGGTATTTTATGAATACACCCACTTGCTCCAAGCTCACATGGCATGTCCTGTATGCGCACGCTATCAGTTTTTTTATGTCTGAGACTATACCAAGTGTGTACACTGTCTATCAAACAAAAAAAGTGCCTTATGTGGCTGCAAACTTTGCGGAAGTGACCAGGGCTGGTCAATCACATCAGCATCAGCCGGTGCCACTACCTCTAATAGACCAAACATATGAATGCTGTCTCGACGATTTTTTTGTACACAAAGGAATGTAGCGGTGTGAGTACTTTTTTGAAAGAATAGGGAAAACCGTAAAAAGACATCGGTGTTCGCCTATAGAATTTGTCTCAATTAAGCTTTCGATTGGACTTACTTGATACATGCCAAAAAGGTGAAGAAAATAGACCTTCTACCTAAATTTAATAGAAACGTTTTGAAGTCAAGTAGGACCCTTCGATTATCAAACGGCCTGCAATTCTAATTTGTGTGGTACCTTGCTCAGGTCGCTCTACGCCTCTACCACTCCTTGCAGGCATCCCCTGTGATACGATATTGTAATTGAAGCAGCTGAAGCGTGTGTGTATGCTTCTTGCGCGCTCTCTTGTCTTGTGAAAGGTAAAAGTGGTCCAGGTTCTCGATTATTGAAGTTTCCGTACCTGCATCGTGCGTCCTCTCTTCAGCACGTGCTATAGACTAAACAGGGATTGCGCAGGCGGTCATGTGAATGAAAAGCATGGTTTTCAACCTATGACGTGGATACACGACTAATTTTGCGACCTGTGATGTGGATGAATGGCTGAGTTTGCGACTCATCCGTGATGTATCTTCTTACAGCTATTTAAGAATATAGTGCGTCATTTAATCGACGAAGCATTGTATCGCATCATATACTAATTTGTTGATCGACGGAAGTACATGAATATCTTCTATCACGTTAAAAAGATCTTATCGGTTGTTAATGCATGAGTGACGTGGGTTGCAGCGGATCATTTAAGCGAGTATTAGCTTCGCAACCACCACAATTATTACAGTATGGGCGACTGCATGTACTTCATGTTTTCTAAAAAAATGCTGGACTTATACCCGCTAGTCTTAAATAAATAAAGTGCATTTCTGTAAGCAGCCTGGTCATTGATTCCAGTCTTTATCAATGTTTCATTATTTTAGTCGTTAATATTTTTTTAACATTTACGTGTACTTAACATCTTATCATTACATAGGACAACAGAACAATTGCATACTTGGATAAAAATAATTCCTCTTATAACACCATTACGCTTCATTTAGCATCGATAGATTATGATATGGAAACACAGCTGCTTCACAATTTGAGGGTGCTTATCACGCGAAAATTAAGAGTTTGCCCAACAGTTAAACGCTTTCCAGATTCTACGAAAACATTTTGAGGGGTGTTGAATCCAATTACAAAAAATTAGCAAAAAAATAGCGCAGGAGAGATGCGAGATACTTAAGAACCTGTCTATTCATCAATTTTCATAGCTCCATCGCAAGATATCGCGACACAAGCTGGTGCTACTAAAAAACGGAGTGTCTCCTCTCGTTATCATTCGTGCAGATCTCGAGACGTGCAACCACTACTACTCAATATTCCTGAGGAATTATGTGCAGACGTAATCAGCTGCCTTATTGAAACAAGACCACCTATTGTATCAGTATATTTGTGAAATAATAGAAATTGGATATCGACGGTATTAAATCCAACCTCGACTTCGAGACTTTCGGTACCTTGCTCCCCTTCTTAATTCAAAAAAATTCTAGAAAGAGGTCGCACTTGAAACCCACGCAATGCCATCCTTCGAGATTCGATCAAGTGGAACGGCAGTTCGTTCGTGACACCTGCAACCACTCCCTAAAAATGGACATGACCGGCTTCATTGTCTCTTACGTGCAATGATTAAGTCAGTCAAGCCAAAGACGCGTGTATCTCCTCCAATCCGTTCGAAATGCCGCCATAGCGACCTGTGCATTTGAATATACCGCTACCATCGTAAACTTTCCTCTGTAACGCTACGATGCAGCCACTCTTGTCTATGATGAACTGCCATACTGATTCTGCTTCACTCTAAAATGCTGCAGGCTCCACTAATTCAGTTTCCGTTCCTTCCGATTCCGCCGTCGCGACGTTGGCTCATACCGCGCCATTGCAGGAGACGTCGTCTCGCAACTGAAATATACAGCACGTTTTAAAAAACGAAGGGTCATACTTATTTTCGAGACATTCCTATTATAGCATGTAAGAAAGTAACCTTTACTTAACCTTTTTTGCATATATTATATAAAGCTATGAAGATTCTAATTGTAACACACATTTTATAGGCAACCACCTATTTTTTGTTCATTTCTCCGGATTCGGGCCCTAGCGAATGTCCAACTACATGAACTACGAAGCAAAAGGGAGTATACATCCAAAAAAAGGCGAAAAAAGTAATAATTCAAACGCGTTATTTAGCCAAACACCAGGCATTTTTATGGGACCTTCATCCTTTTGGTGAAAGATATTAATCGCAACGCGCTAGCATTTATAAATGATGTTCAAATATTATTTTGGGGTGAACCTGTTATATGTAATTATACTTTGGTACTTGTTAATCAAAATATTATCATAAAAGTTTATAATAATCGTGGATATTACCATTAGGGATAATATCACTCACCAACTGGCTAATATGGGTCATCATATCAGTTAGTTCAAGTTGTCTAATCAAGGATGGACGCGCGCAATGAGTAGTGAGCAAGACTTTAGCATACACCTTTGTAGAAATATGTGATAAAGTTGGGACTAAAGCAAAAGTTGATATTTATAACTTTTTTATACTAGATGCAGTTTTGCTTTTACCAGCAACTAGTCAGTAACCTAGTTACCTTCCCTTCCTCTGCCAGATTACAACGGTATTGAGGTACAGCTCACGCTGCTGTCGGTGATATTAGTTGTTAGAGATTGCATGTCTAGTCGTACAGCAGTTTCTGGCGACGCGGAAGGATGCGTCTTTTCGTTAGCGCTAGGTGACGCAAAGATGGCAGCAAACAGGTGTTTAAAGAGTCGAGGGCGACGCTAGAGAGTGGTTGGTGCAGAGAGATCGCAGCTAGCCAGCACAACAAGAGCGATAAAAGCGATAGATGAACACAGAATCTATTTCACCTATTACAACTAACTTCCATCCTTTCTTACAGTAGCTTCATACTGGTTGTCCAGTGTGTTGCTTCGGTGCCCCGTTACAACTATCGTCCCATTCTTGCTCGATCGGTTAAATGTGGAGGAAATCTATCGCAAAAGGTGTGGGTAGTCCAATGATTAGCTTAATCAGTGCCATACAAGGGGCTACACCCGTTACACATAGCGACTGAGATGCATTCGATTGGATCAAGAGCATTCCGTTTTATCAATTTCAAGTCAGTGGCGCCACGTTCTAACGTTAATTTTTGTGATAAAAAGAGCTTTTGAGGCACAAATGTGCTTGCTTGCAACGAAAGGCGTGCAGGAAGCGATGCTCAATGAAAGCGATATTGTAAGGCACGTCACTAGTCATTGCTTTAGAAAGAAAGTAGAAAGCGGGTCATAGTTACCCGGCATTTCTCGTGCTCATCAATTGCATTCATTTGGGTAAGTTTCATCAATAGGATACACTGTACAGCTTCAGTAGGTGCTGCAAGGTCCTCGGCATTTTTGCAAGTGATCCTGGCAATACACTTTGCTCAATAAATAGTGCTTTCTCTCACTAAAACAAACTGGATTAGTAAAAAGATCTATAAGCCAATCAATGCGCGGTACGGCGGATCCTGTATATCCAGTTGTCGACAGCAGCCCATATCTTGGCGTCGTTGGCTTCTCATGTATTCTTTTGTCGTTTTTTTATCTGTGCTTTATAAGTTTTCGAAAAAGCAAACCTCCCTCGAGTGATTATCCCTTGCTCTAAAATCCCGTCGTCACTATGAGCTCCACCCACGACGCAGCCGAAGCGCAGAAGACGTGTGTAGTTCCTATAGAGTGGCCACATATCACTCCGTTATACTCACTCACATCTCTCTATCCCTCTTCTCTAGACTCGGCAACGAGGAGTTTAATGAAAAGAACTTTGACAAAGCAGTCGAGTGCTACTCAGAGGTGTTCCCCCTACTTAATGATACTTAGCATTTTTCGAGGGTACTGAAATACGATCAATTGCTGCAGGCCATTCGTCTGAACCCGGAGAACTTCGTCTACTATTCGAATAGAAGCGCCGCGTACGGAGCTGTAGCCAAGTGGGATCTGGCCGAACAAGATGCACAAGAGTGTGTGAAACGCAAGCCCGAGTTTGCCAAGGGCTACCACCGTCTCGCCAATGCGCAGCACCAGCTGGGCCGCAAAAAAGAGGCAATTGAGACGCTTCAGACGGCGCAGCGCGTCGCAACGGATCCGGAGAAAGTGCCGGGTATAAAGAAGCTGTTACGTCAGCTGCAACAAGAACTGGCTCCCAAGAGCACGTTGCCGCTGGAAGGTGGGAATACCCGTCAAGTTCCTGGACATATTGCCAAGGAGCTGCAGGAGCTGCAACCGCAGTTTCAAAAGATTGAACGAGAGTCGGAACAGATTGACATGAAGCTGGCTGCGTACATGCGGCAGAAGAAACGGCTGGCGCTGGTGGAGCAGGAGGTGGCCGACCTGCCGGAAGGGACGAGGACGTACCGCAGCATTGGGAAGATGTTCTTGCAGACTGATCGTGACGAGAGTACTGCAAGTATCAAGGACGAGGAGAAGCAAGTGGACGGACAAGTGTCGTCGCTCGAGGCGAGAAAACACTATCTGAACCGCCAGAAGCAGCTCGTGCAGGACAACATGACGGAACTCCTGGCTCAATGCACCTAGTGGCTCGAGAGTTGAATAAGACGTGACAGACACGCACGACTATAGTGAGAGCATGTATTTGAGGTCTTACGTTAATTGCTGATTACGAACGCATACACAGCAATGGATGGATGTGGAACAACTGGAACAGCTCAGCCAGAAAAACGACACGACGACAAGGGCATCGCGTCGCTGCGTTGTTGTGACGATCCCTCTCAACTGTGATATCACTCGGGTTTTGTCCGCCGCTAAATGGAGAAACAAACACAAGAAGCGTTTTAACATGCGATCCCACACCGACCTCGTTTCGACGATTTTACTACCTCTTCTACAGCACCAACGCCCTCGACTCGCTGTCCAATCAGAACGTGTCAAAAAAGCCCGGACAGAGCCGTTGTCGCTGACTCCTCCTGTCTCGTCATATCCGTCGCTTCTACCAAAGTACGAGCGACAGATTCCCTCGCTCACTCTCTCTTTCTGCCTCTACCTCGTACCCCATTGATTTCCACCGTCCGCCAATTCACTGACAACTAGACGACGACTTCCTTTCGTACGACAATCAAGAAAAGGACTCCAGCGCTAGCAGCACAGCTACAAAAAGGACCGCGGCCATGCAGGCGCTTCAAGACGCGCAGCAGCGCTTTAATGACCTTGTGAATAATGACACTGTCGTACGTATGCAGCTGTCACTACACCGAGGGAACACGTTTGGTCCTGTGGCGCACTGTTCCAGATTTAGGTTCTGACGGACTGACCTCTTTTTGGTTTGCTTGTTATTATCATATGGTGCCATGCTTGTTCTTGTAACGTCGTTGAGCTCATCAGTGGCCTGAGCGCGTGCCGGTGACGAATCTGCCGGACTTTGACGCCTCGTTTATGAAGGAAGGGTTTCTGCAAAAGAAAGGCCAGCGGCTCAAAGGATGGAAACGTCGCTGGTTCGTCTGTGACGGCCGCACGCTGTCGTACTATATCTCGAAGAAGGACCGGAAGCCGAATGCCGTGATCCCTTTAGAAGGCTGCAGTGTCGAAGACGGGGGACTGAGTGAGACGTGGAACTCGCCGCGCATTTATTTGACGGACCCCGCGACCGGGATCATGTACTGCTTGTCCGCAGAAGAAGGGACCGTGGTCACGCAATGGCTCCATGTCTTGCGCGCAGCGGTGGCTCGAGTTCAAAGTGGATCCACTGGGAGTGACGCGAGTGTCGAGGCATCGTCACAAGGCTCGGCACTGAAGCAACGCTCAGGACGACAGCAGAACAAGTCGCAGGGGCCACGGCTGCCGTCGGCTTCTGATGATGAAGACGGTCGCGTGCATCTCAAACGTGCGTCATCAATGGAACCAACTTCGACCTTACCGAGATCAACATTGGTGGGTTCAAATGCTCCAGCATCGTCAAATGCAGCTGCAAGTGGCGAGAAGAAGAGGCGTGCGGCTCGGGTGGTAGCAGCACCTTTGGTGACCGGTACGAGTTCGAATAGTACGGCAACGTTGCCGCCGTTACAGCAGCATCATCACCGTCCTCATCGTACCAAGACACAGCGCTTGCCTACGACCGTTTCACTGGAAAATGAGCTGTCGTATGGACTTGATGTACTGGAGGCACTGTTGTGTGGCCACAGCATGACAAGGTCATCGTCTCCGATCCGCAATCACGTTGTATTTCGACCCATGGGTGCATCCAACGGCGTGTTGCGTAGCCTTGGGACGGACATGAGTTCTGGAAAGCAGTATGCGCGAGCGAGCGTTGTCTTGCCTGTGTCATCAGAAGTGGCGGCAATATTGCTGGCTGACCATGCGCGTCGCGCCGAATGGGATATACACTTTCCACAATCATCTCACGTAGCTACCTTTGACGACGCGACGGATCTTGTGCATCTATCGAGTGGTAGCTTTGCGCAAGTCCAGAAAACGAAGCCGTTTATAGCTCCACACGTGGCTGCCACAGTGTGTGCTTTGTGCGCAGCACTTTTGGTGGAGCACTGCATCGTGGGAGGCATTGCTGACTGCTATGACATACGCTGCTGCCGTTGGTGGTATCGTGAGTACCATTGATCACAGTGCATTCACTGCACCACGTGATTTGGTGCTTTTGCGTCATGTCCGCGAGTCTGCTGTGTCTGATTCTCACGATTCGGGTGAAGACAAGTCGGTGGACGAGATGGGCCAATCTGTGGTACTCATGCTGGAAAAGTCTGTGGCCAACGAGCTAAAACCAATCGTGCCTGGAATAGTGCGTGCGTGTGTGGGCTTGAGCGGTTGGTTACTGGAGCCGGTTGGTTCAGGCCACGCCACACTGGCCACCTATATCACCGATTTGGATATGCGGGGGTGGCTATCGCCTTTGACGCGGCAAAGTTTCTTGATCTCGCGTCTGGATTGCGTGTCTGTTCTAAGTGAGTACGTCAATCAGGCGCAGCTGTGTGGGCCAGAACTTGGGTTTGGCGGTGGTTTGGACGAAGATGGTGACGGCGAGTACGATTCTCGAAGTGCTGGGTACGAAGAGACTGGCGATGGAAGTCTTGGGGATGCTGCCGATAGCGAGTCATCTGCGATATTTCACCCGAAGACGTATATGCGTGGCATGGTACCGCTGCCCAGCGGTGGTCTGAAGCTGATTGACAAAGAGGTGGCAAAGAAGCAGGGTGGTGTGGTGAAGGATGTGATCAAGTCTGCGGGAGCAAAGATCCTGGAGGGCAAGTCAGCTGTTAGTCTGTCACTTCCTGTGCGTATTTTCGAACCCCGTACCAATTTGGAACGCGTGTGCGATTTGATGTTATATGCGCCGACGTTCTTGAACGTTGCGTATGCGCAGAATGATGCATTGGAACGCTTCAAGTACGTCATGACATTTGCAGTGGCTGGGTTGCACCACAGTATTGGACAGCTAAAGCCATTCAATCCAATTCTAGGTGAGACGTTTCAATCGACGCTGAATGATGGAACTGATGTAAATTGTGAACACACGAGCCATCACCCGCCAATCAGTAATTTCCAGTTCACTGGTGAGAAGTACTCTATCGCTGGATTTGTACTTTGGCATGCGAGCATGAGCGTCAAGTCTAACGCGATGCTCAACACAAATAAGGGACCTATTCGTGTCACATTCCCTGACGCTGAAGATGTTTCTGGAACGACCATCGAGTACAATTTGCCGTATTTGCAGATTGGTGGCTTGCTTTGGGGAGACCGTACGGTTGACATTATGGGCAATATGGTATTTGAAGACAAGAAGAACCATTTTCAGTGCGAGCTGCGCCTGAATCCAGATGCGAAGTCCGGTATGGGTGGTATATTCTCGAGTTCCAAGACGCCCACGGATTCACTTCGTGGAACCATCTTGGACACATCAGTGTCACCTGCGCGAGAGATCTGTGACGTTTCTGGCTCATGGCTGCATGATCTCGTCTTTGATAACAAGACGTATTGGAGCATTGATAAGCACCAGAGTGGCTACATGATGCCGTACCCTAAAGAGAAGATTTTGGCATCCGATTCCCGGCACCGCGAGGATCTACACTATTTGGCAGCAGGTGACTTGGACGAATCGCAGGAGTGGAAGGTGAAGTTGGAAGTCCTGCAACGTGCCGACCGCAAATTACGCCTGGATGGCCGACGTCCCAATCACTGGTCTTACCGCACTGCTCCTGGTCATTGATACGAACAAGTTGCGTACATAAGGGCAAGTAATTTCGTACAAACAGCAACGGTATCAAAGCATATATCCATTCACCTGATATACATTCTAGCATCACTGCAATGATCGATGAAACACGCATCAATTTCTGTGGTCTAGCTAGCTAGCTCCTTGTCTTGTTCATATCTCGTGTTGAAAGCTTATTTCCACGCCGTCTGCAACGCCTTGCGCTGCGCGAGTGTCTTTGTGAGAAATGTCACTACTAGGAAAGCCACACACAGGAGAATTAGCATCTCATGATTGAAGTCGGACGGTAGCAGATCAAACGACTTGACAGGTGTCATGCGCATGTAAAACATGTCGAGACCGTGAGCAAACACCAAAGTGGTCGACTCGAGCTCGGCAGGGGCCGTACTGATACATTTCAAGTTCTCCACCGTACGGTTGTACGTCAGCATGGCTTGAGGTTGGTTGTATACGGGCACCAGCGGCGAGTACATCATCAGCCCTTCTGCTTGTTCCTCGGGTGTGAGTGGCTTCTCAGGCTGACGCGGATCAATGAAGTTGCGAGCTAACTTGAAAATCTGGCCAGTTTCCATGCCAACCAAGATGGCCTGTGGTGTGATGCCGTGCGCCGTCACCGTCACCTGCAGGGACTACAGAAATAGATGGTAGACAGACACAATCAGCAACAACGCAATGCTGGCAAATGAGCAGGAACGTGTCAGGGCACATACCGTAATCTTAGTAGGGTAAATGAAACTCTTCTGAAGCACAAAAGGCGCCTTTGGGTCGAACGACGACCGTGTGGAAGCCCACGATGAACGCTTCCATAGGTTAAGTGAATGCATTCCCACGGCTCCGTCGAAGAGCGATAGCGACACCATCTCAGAGCGCTTCTCTCTTAGGTTCCAGTACGAGTACACCATCCAATTCTCGCTCTGCACCATGTGCACAGGTCCTTTCGCATGCAAATGGCGAGCACGGTGGATAATGCGTCCTGCTACAGAGTCGATCAAATTGACGTGAAGCGTAGACACAGCCTCATCATCATCTGCTGAGAGCTCTGTAGCAATTGTCGCTACTCCGAACAGATTCGGATTTAGATACTTGATCAGCAGCGAGTCGTCGCCAGTAATGGTCACAGCTGAGTCAACAACCAAGTGATCATGGTGGCGAGACGTAGCAATCACGCGTTGCTCGCGAGGTAGAACGATGGACCATACTTCATGAGCGCGGTAGTCCACGGCACTGGCATCACCCTTATTTTTGATTGCATAGCCACGAAGCACGTTCAGAATGTCGTCGTACCGGTAGAAGTAAAAGTGGTCCAGCTCTGGATGCGCGATATCTGCCGTGTCCTTTGGGTAAAGCGACACCTTCAGTGAATCCTCCGAAATCACAGCCACCGTGCGACGCGCTACAGGTTCGTCATCAGTGGCGAGGTGCTTTCGCTTGGGTAACAAAACCACCCACGAGGCACCTGTACCTGCACCAGCATCAGTCGCATCCAACTGACGACCATCATCGCCATCAAACCACACAAGCTTTGACGAGTTGGAGACTAACAACAACTCAGCACCAGAACCGAGGGCTGGGTGGTCGCGAGTCACGAAGAGCTGATACTCTGGGCCCACAAACACAGACCATGCGACCGTGCTAGCTTCAGCGCGAATAGCAAACAGCTTGCCGCTTTCAGTAAGCACCACGATATACTTGGAAAAACCAAACAAGTGAGCATTAGGTGGCTCCTTGCGTGCAGCACGAGATCGATCGACAACACGCTGGTGACTGCTGTCGTCTAGCAGCGACGAGGAAAACGATATCATTTTTTCAACAAGCTGCCGAAGATGCTTGATCTCAAGCTGTAGCTCCTCCATGAAAGAAGGAATGTGCTTCAACGCCTGCTTCTCAATCTCCGTCTCTGCCGGCGTAATCCAGCGCACATGCTTAATGTTCGCCAGCGATTCTTCGCGCACCCACCCGACATTCCCATTGCCAGCAGAATTAGCCTTGTCATTATTCGACGTCATAACAAGAGCGTCATCCTTTAAGACCAACACAACGTCGCAACTTGGAGCTACGCTCTTTTTCATGTCAGGACATCCAACGAATGCGCGAGAGACGTCACCACCAAATGATGCTATGTCTAGATCAGCTGTCCACGAGACAGTAGAGACTAAAGTCTGGTCCAGCGCATACGACGTGACTTCCAGCAACTTGCTGGTGCTTTTCGCAGCAACATGAAAGAGCGCCGACTTCTCTGTCACGGATTCTACCAAAACACCTTCAGCGATCACAGCAGTAACTTCCAGTTCAAGCGAGCTTGAGACTTTTAATATTGCCCGCTTTCCAGATGCCAAAACCACTACCAGCGCATTCGAAATACTCGAATCGATTGCCACGACCTTGTCCCCCGCCAGTTCAAGTGAGCTGAGAGAAGTTTTCGAACCATCCTTCTCACTCTCAAGCCCCTGCAGCAGCAAGTGGTCATTTGTCAACGTTACTACAACCGCCTTGTGCTGTTCACTGTCGTGACGCAGCACTTTGACAGCCAGCTTACTGCTCTCGTCCTTCTGGTCAACTTCCAAACGAGTAAAGAGGTTCAACACATGACCCGACGTGACGTCAAAGCGCAGTACGTGACGGCCTGCCATCACAAACAACGCTGCATTGTCGGAGCTCACCTGCCACGACAATGTCGTTGCCTCCACAGCTGCCTTGGCAAAATCTTCAGGGAGCGGCTGCACTTTCAGTGTTCCATCCTTGAGACTCACTGAAGCCACACTGGAAGACGTCAATATGACCGAATGGTCACTGTCCAATGCGAAGAGCCCACCAAACACAGTCGTGACCTGACTATAACCTCCACTCGTCGTCACTTCGTCCCATAAGAGCACGCCCGAGTCCAAGTCCCAAAGTCTCACATTGCGTCCAGATCTGATCCATCAAGACATCAGTAAATCAACCTCTCTTTTTGAATCCCCTCTCTAAAGTGATCATTCAGACATACCGTGAGACGGATAAAATCCCAAACGTCGTCCACTGAATGTCGTCAATCGCGTCCCCTAAAAATAGATCCACCCCGAAATAACAGCCCGTAAGTTATTTATAGACAGCCATCTTGTTTACGTGCATCCCCTACCCCTATCTTACCTTCGGGAAACACGCGCCGCCATTGAATTTCACCACTTTGTGCATCCAAACGCGCAAGCGCCCGCGAGGTCTCGTCTGACGCCACGTACACACTCCGCGTAGGTACGTCTGTTAAGTGCGGATCGTGCGCCCCAGCGCCGCTGAATGCCACGGCGTGCACACGCCCCACGTTTTTCGTGCTCCAGTCGAACTCACCGGCTTGGTCGGCGTACAGGCCACAGGCTGCATTGAAACACAGCGCTACGACCACGAAGAGCCTCGGCAGCAGCAGCAGCAGCGGCGGCGGCTTCATCGTTAGAAATTCTCCGTTTAGTGATTGGTTGTGGATCAAAACGGGCTGGCCCGGTTAGAAAATAAAAACGTGGTGCACATGAAAAGGAGCTGATACTGCGCATCGATAAGCGTGCAAAAAGCACTTTATATTGCACTTTTTAGTTGAAGGAAACGTACTTAGCGGATTGTCGAATGATGGACGTATGTGCGGATGGCTCGTTTTCAAGCTCAAGAGGGATTGCGCACTTTGTCGGACATTTGAGTGCGATAGCTGACAAATTGACAGGAAGAAGACCGTGAGCAAGTTAAAGTTATGGTACAGTCTTCGCGGATATGATGGGACAAATTAGGTTTTGTAAGACCTTTAGTGAAATCGTTACAATTGGAGGCTCAGCAAAGCGCTGTGCTGATGCGACCGTCACTGTTTCGAAGAGGCAACATGTACGCACCGCAAGTAGCTGTTGGTCCTTAAAAAAGCATTCAGCTCCAACGAATAATTATCGTAAATATGAGCAGAAATCGAATTTGCAAACGACAGACTAACCTCAACCTTAGCGATGGGTGCACAGGGCCTTTAGCGAGAGCTTTAGATCATTTACGTTTGATGCACGTGCCCAAGTCATAAGGGCTGTAGGGTGCAAGCGGATGCCTCCATAAGGACGCGCATAGCTGTCGAGTGAACACCGTCATTGAACAATGACCAAAGAGTACGATGCAAATTACCCTTCGTTTTAGGAAGACCAATAATGAATCGGTGCTGCACAGTGGAACAGAAGAACGTTCCAGGCTAAGTTCTTTCTACTCAAACTAGTTAGCTGATTACAGCAAGAGTTTTATGAGTCCATATTTTCGCTTCCATTAAACTCTCGACCCACATGATTTGTCCGACACGTATACAACCAGCTGCGCCAAAAAAGCGAACCGAGTGGCATTGTGTACGATCGTCTTTTAACAACGAGTGAGAGCAGTTGTTTGGAGTGGTGACGGCAAACTTTTCGCCTCTCTAGAAGCAGTAAAAAGCGATGCATGGAAGGTGACCATGGTGGCTTTTTTACGGCTGAGCTTGAGACGGTCAATGTACTACCGGATCGCGTCCCGCTGACAAAGAAAATGTACCTCAGGTTGAAAAGGACTGAGTGATTCCAACGCCTTGGAGTTTAAAGCAATTCAGTGTCGTAGATCGCTGCACGTACGCACAATGGTGTCACTACACCTGTGGGGTTTGTAGTAAATTGTACAACTAGTTATAGTCCCTATCTCACATTCCCCAGAGAGTGTGATAAGCACTGTCCAGTGAGCTAGGAATCCTGGCTGATTCACTTAGCAGCTACGGGTTTAGGCCTTATACTGTCAGGTCAACCTGCTGCAACGGCCGTAAAGGGCACCCTATCAGCATCTTGGAGTTAATCTGGTTAAGTACAAGGCGGTGAAGATGGAACTTCTGTCCGTCGTATGTGCGTCTCACGATCGGTATAGGTTGGGTACGCAACTCCTAGCCGGCACCGACGATAAGCGGACAGTGATCTAGGGTATGGAGGAAGGGCACTTTGTCAACCGATGTACGCCAAATTTATTAAGAAAATGTTCAATGCAAAGGATCAAGTACGGTTTTAGACAACGATTCAGCTGCAGGTGGAAGGGTAATGTGTCATTTACGCTCGTGAATACTGGGAAGATCTTAGCCAGCCGTTATCATACTCAAGCGTTGTAATAGGAAGTGTTGCTGGCTGTAGAGGGTCTTAAGGTTGACTTTTGGGAGCTTTACCATACACTGAGGAAAACGAAGACCATCACTTGCAACACTGTAAAACGATCCTCCCATTTATATTCCTTTACACGGACCACAAACACAATTGTTCCGTTCTGGAGCCGGTCGTAAGGCTTCACAATAGGCCTGCAGCATGGTGTCAGTGCGGAACGGACATGTTGGGGCCAAAAGAATGAGAATAATTACGCAATTGAATCATCTTTATCGCTCTACATCGCCCTGTTTCCTGAGAAATTGGTCGTCTCACAGCTTTCGTTAATGAATACATGCGTGCTGAGATCGAGCTGGAGAATATGGACGCCTGCATCCTCAAATCACGCAACACCACAATGTCAAAATTCGACAGTCCAGTTAGCAAGCTGCCCTGAGTATATTCGCGGCCTGGAGAGCGAGACTCTTGGTCAATCCGTGTCCAGAAGCGGCTTTTCAGCCAACCAAGTGCAGGCCCCGGGGTGTGATGTTTCATATGAGGTGGAGGTGACGACATTGGAGGCTGTAAATGAACCTACTAAAGCATTGCGTAAGCGGAGGTATAGCCTCCAGCTGTATACGTCCAACGCACGGAGAATGCTCGTGACAGCAAGATTTTCCCAGGCGTGCAGGAAGTCGACCCGCGTATTCGGAGCAGATCGGTAGTCTCACCAGCGTTTTCCGGGCGGCGATACCATTCTCAAACCACTCCTTTAAACGAAAGTAAAACAAGTGGGCCACGGTTCCTGTGCAGGGTCGTCGAAGGGCGACTCAAATATAAAGAGGGTAACTTATCGTCGGAATGTTATTAGCACCAAATCTGGTGAACTAGCGGATCCAGAAAGTATAGAAGGCGCTACCGAGGTTAAAGGGGGGATTGGAAACACACGTATTGCAGCAAACTTGGATTCGGGTATCCTATAAACGAGGCTGAGCAACACCCCGTGCAGGCTCACAATACCCACATGCAGCTACAAACTCTTGTACTTCCACCACCACAGGTACCTAGATACCGCAGTTGTTGGCGTAAAAGTAGCAGGATCGTGCGGCAGTTCCGACAATTGTATTCAAGGTATGGACTGCCTCAATGGAAAGAGTGTCAGAGACTCAGTAGTGGAAGAGTTGACTTTCTTAACGATGTATTCGATTTTACGGACCTTAGGATTACTTTGCATAGAAACGCCAGAGACATATACTTGTCTTGATCTTTGGTCCAGGCATCGGTTAGCGACGATTGGTTCCATCAGGAAGAGGTTCTTCTTACTGCCTCTTCCCGTGTAAATGTGGGCTCAAATACACGGTACCATTGCACATGGCGGATCAGTTTGAAGATGAGGTCCGTGCGAAACATAAAGTGAAAACCGGTAGTGAATGAACATGCCAATTAAGGAGTCTACCAAACAGTCAAATGGTATCTAGAGGAGTGTAATGCTAGTGTAACCGATCGGACAACATCAGTCGGTCAATGTAGTTGGGGCGGCAGAGAAATTCGTTTCATGACTGCACATTTTGTGCAATGCAACCTGTACGTGATCGGTCAACGCATCGGGATGTCCTACCACGTCACTACAGCGTATACCGCCTGATCTAGATAGATACATCAAACCTGACGAATCATACTGATGATAAAACTATCCTTACTACACAGGGGTGTGTCGAGCAGACGGCTGAGGCCAAATGGGACGACCCGCTACCTTTACCTCTCGTCCAACGTTACACAGACAAACATGATTCGGTCTACGCTCGCGGCACGCTTCCTTAACCGGACAGAACGGAAGTATTTCGAGGTGACATCAGCGCGGAATTCATAGGCATCTTGTCGATGACCTCGTGATGCGGCTCGTGTATGGGAACGACGTACGCAGGTTCTCGTTTAAATATGTATTAATGAGTGAGATGTGGTAGTAATATGCAGGGATTTATGTTTTAACTGTTAAAAGAGCTATAGCTCAAGTGGTTGAGGCCTGGCAGTGCCAACCAATGGTCGCCAGTTCCAACATAGGGCGGTGCGCAAAATGTTGAACCTCTAGGCCCTGATGTGATAGGTTTCACCAGCACTGTCCTTCCAGACAGTGATCGCCCCCTTCCCACTTCAACAACAATTGTTCACACCATATAACGTGCGGCACACACCAGAGAGAAAGAGTACGCGACCATGACTAATGACTGGTCATGTACAGTGGACGGTCAACTAAGAAGCAGCAAAGATGGACAACACACGAAGAAATGATTGCACGGTAGATAAAAAAGACAACACACATAATGCAGATCACTTTTGGGTTCACTTCTTCGGCCACAAGCATCGTCCCCGCATCGCTCACGATAGCCTCGAATCTCAACACATCTCTCTGGACGAGTCAAGCGACGAGGAGAATGGAGAAGGTTGAGGCTGGCATGACCGGGGTTGCTTATGTTAATACTTTGCCTCTATGGGGAAGCGATATCAGCAGTATGAATTCAGGCTTTCTGGAGGCACAAATTACTCACATACTGCGACGTGACATCCATTTGATTCTCCGGGGTTCGGTTTCGTCTCCCTATCCAGCTTTTATCGATTTCTGGTAAACTCGGTGGCAAGTAGTTATGTGTACATCCATCTCTGTTTACTGACGGAAGATTTTCTGCATATGAGTCAGCAGGAAGACGTCCAGAGGCTGCACGAGGAATTTCATATCCTGGATACGGTAACGAGCCATTGTCACTTCTGGAAGAGACACGAAACAATTCCAGCTGTTAATGGAAGATAGCAAGTAGCCGCACGTTTTGAAGAGAGAAGGGTCCAAGTCATGACAGGATGTGTGGCACGACATAGCGTCGAAGTGGTCGCGGACGATACTCACCGCATTTTCGACCATTCATGTTAACAACTATAATGAAAAAAGGAAGATCAAAGGGAACCGCGTTGGTTCCTGAACATGATCCATCGCTTTTCACTCAAAAGTCAAATTCTGCACATTTGAAGCAACGAAATCATCGAGACATGGTCTGCAATCTGATGCCAAGAGTAGATGTGTACTCGTCTTGTTGCGTTTTGTGACCGGACGTCTGATCCCGCCACTAAAAAGTGGCTCAATAATTAAAAGGACAGGAAATTTGCGCCATTTATCTCAGTCCTTACTATCGACCTCTTATATGGTAGCTCGGATGAATCGCAGCGATTAAGAGACAGCGGCTGCGAAGAGGATACTACCTGCTACATTTTTGTAATATTAGTTTAAAGGAAATCAAGCGCGTCGCATCCTCATTGTGCTATTGTAAAATACTTAAATCAGATATATAAT